TCAGCAATTTAACATTGTTCTCAGCTTTTGAGAACATTTATTTTAGCGAAGGACAAGAAGTATTGTTATATTAACAGATTCTCCCCCTCTTCCCACAAATAAGTATTCAAGAGTTGTGATCTATCCTCACCTGCAGCCATTTCACTGATATTCATAAAATCATGAGAACAGTGTAAAAACTGCTCATACTTTGGAGGCTGCTCTAATTCTTCCCAGATTTCTAATTACAGAAGAGTTTGCTACCAGAGTCAGAGGGCAAAATTTTGCCAGAGTCATGTGAAGGACCATGACAGATTTTTTAACATAGTGAAACTGTAAGTAACTACCTGTGGAAGAGTTTGTCTTTAGGACTGTGGACACAAGTTACCTGTGTACAGCAGCTAATGCCTTTTGAGGTGGTGTAGGTGTGCCTGAGACAGATCTATCTCAGTGTTCTAAAACCCATAGAGTAATAGAATATGCTAAACTGGAAGAGTCTCATCAGGATCACTGAGCTCAACTCCTGGCCCTACACAGGACACCCCAAGGATCACACCATGTTCCTGAGAGCATTTTCCAAACTCTTCTTGAGCTCTGTCAGGCTGGTGCTGTGGCCACTTCCCTGGGGAGCCTGTTCCAGTGCCCTTGCCCCTCTTGCTCCTTCTTGCCCTCCTTGAAAACTTGGGACAATGTTAACCAGCTTCCAGTCAGCTGGGACCTCTCCAGAATCCCAGGACCGATCAAATATCATCAAGAGAGGCTTTAGAATGACATCAACTAGCCCTTTGAGGATTCTTGGATAAACCCCATGAGGCCCTGTAGATTTGTAGAGTTCCAGCTGAAGCATCAGATCTCACACAATTTCAGGGTTGTCTGGGAGCTGAGCATTTTGCAGTCATGGTCGTCCAGCTCAGGGCACTGACCCCACCTCAGTCTGTCATTGTTGTTGCTGCAGACAGACAAAAAAGACAAAAAAGAATGCACTAAACACCTCTGCCTTGTCTCTGTTCCTGTTTGTGAGAAGACTATCCCCATCTGGTCATGGGCAGATGCTCTTTCTACATTGTCTTTTGCCATTAGTATACTTGAAAGATTTTTTACTGTCCCCCACATTTCTGGCCAACTTCAACTCCCGTAGTCCTTTGGCCACATGAGTTTTCTCCCTGCTGTGGTGAGCAGCATTTCTGTGTCCTTCCCATGTCACCTGACCTTGCTTCCACTGCACATGCACCTTCTTTTTTCACCTTGTTTCCAAGAGAAGATTCCTGTTCAGCCAAGCCAGCCTTCTGCCTCACCTGCTTGACTTCTCAGTTTGGGAACTGCCTGCTCCTGTGCCCTTAGGAGGTGATGTTAAAAAGTGACCAGCACTGATGGACCATGGGACTTTTCTTCTGATTCCCGAGAAGCCTGAAGTCTCCTCTCCTCATGTCCAGAGTTGAATTTCTTTAGTACTTCGGGAATTGTTCATTAGTTTGGCTGATATGTCATTTTGCAGGAGTAAGGACATTTTAACCCTGCTTCAGGAAACACTGCACCTCACTCCATAGAGTACTGCAGACATGCTTATAATGCAGTTAATCTCTAGAACATCAGCTTATCTTTATTTAAAATGCTGTGGATAGATCCTTGACACAATCCTCAAGAGTTATTTTTGCATCACCCATACACTGAGAACTGTACCGCTGGCTGAAACAAAAGCAAACAGGGGCTTTCATCTGCCCTCACTTCAATGGCTGGTCAGCAGGCTTTTGAGTGCATGTTCTGTGCTCCTTTTTATACTGCTGCTGCAGCAAGATTTGATCTGGGTTTATGCCTTGAGCAATATCTACTGGATCCTGTGTCTGTAGCCTGAGACAATGAAGCTATCTGCCTAATTTAAAATCCATTTTAAAAGTTACAGGACTTCCACTGCCCTTGTCACTCATGCTTCCATTGGCATATCTCAGCAGAATTGCATAATTTAAAGTGATTATTTTATTGAGGTCTTGCTATTGTTATTATTACCTCTCCTGAGACTTAATTTCTGATATTAATTTTGTTCCTTCCATTAGCTGTCACAGTATATTCATTTATATTTATAGAAAATTCATCTTTTGTTCTAAAAGCCCGTTTCCAAAATTTGCAGTGCTGAAATATGTGTTTGCTTATCAAAGTCCCAAGTCCTCATTAGTGTCTCATCTACATGTGAAGGCATTAACATAAAATTGTGTTTGCTGGTGACGTTACCAATAACAAATAGAAGTTTTAAAGTTCATTTTAGTCCTTGCTTTTTATGGCTGTATTTTGTGGCTGACTTGCATCAATAGTTTCATGTTATTATGGGAGAGGCCACGCAGACCCAGAGCTCCATCACTGAGGACACTTCTACCCCCTAGACCTCTCTATGAGTGCAACTGTGCAAATAGGTAATAGATGAGGTGTCAATAGATGCCTACAGAAGTCGTATTTCATGATCATTATCTCACTGTAAAAATAGTTTTCCACCTCCATTCAAGACAGCAGAAGGCTGTCTCACTTGTGGATTTCTTTTAAAGAAATTCCAGTTGTCTGTTTAGAATCTGAAACACAGGTAGTTGAAATTACGCTGTGACATCACACATCCCAAATTCTCTGCAGAGATTTAAGAATGGGGTCAGCTGCCCTTTGCAAATGTAGTCTTTCCAGTCAGCGTTCCCTCGTGTTCTGGATCCCTGCTGGAGGCACAGGCATCTCTCTAAGTAGGATTTCCTTCAAAAGCTTAGGAAGGGACAAAGAGGAGAACAGCTGCATTCAATTACCAAAAGCATGTGTCTGCCAGTCAGGAAAAAAGGGTGACTGCTGCTGCTCGGACAGAACAGCTCCCTGTGCTCTGGAAGCAACTCTGGCAGATCAAAAATATACAGTATTTAATTTTGGTGAAAAAAAACCCTATTATACTAGTTTGGAAAGCAAGGCAGCAACTTGCCTTGAAGAAGAGTAGCCTCTGAAGAACTTACACATTGTGGTGGTCTTTTTAAAACAAACAAGCAGACTCTTTCAAAAATCAATTTTTCCTTATAAATTGTTTCTGCTGAAGTTTGGGGGTTGAGGGTAGGGAGTAAGCAGCCATTGATCAGGATTTCTCTTGAACCTGTATAAATGAATAGACAAAACTTGATGGTCTCTGGATAATTTGCTATCCAAACATCCTCTCCCAGTTGTTCTCTTCAGGTACTTTGCTCCCTGGAAATTTGGTTTTTTCAAAGTGGAATATGAAAATGATAAATGAGTACTTTAGGAAGAGATCACTTGATGGGAGGATGTGGCCCTATCTTAGTAACAGAGACAATGTCAGGAGCTCCATTTACAATGCAGTTGTATGTAGAACAGCAGGAAATGAGGAATCTGCTCCCTGTCAGCAGGTACTCTACAGAACCAAAGTGAAAACTCAGATGAAACCATTTGGACAGATACTCTATTCCTCAAACATTGGCTCTGCTTTTGACATGGTGTATCAGGTTTTGCAAGGGGGTGGAAAAGAAAGGATGAATCTGGGAGGGCTTTAAGAGCAGACCACAAATACTATGCACATGCAAAAACTCTCAAAATAATAGGCTTTTTTTTTTAAATGTCTGTTGACTTTTTAAAATACTGAATTGTGGACGACCACCATACTATATGGGATTAAACAGAGCTCTGAAAGTGAACTGGAAAAAAATATACAGATTATGGGCCTTTGAATTGGAAAGCAGCCAACATTGTTCCTGGGATTTAGGTGATCTCGGATATAAGAGCATTTAATATTTAACTTGTGAATAGTCTCCAGTTAATTTACTGTGGGATTTAAAAAAAAAAAAAAGGAAAAAAGAAAAAAGGAAAAGAAAACAAAAGAAAAGAAGTCCAGATTACAAAGTTCAAGGATTTTAGAAGTAAGTGGAAGAAGGAGAAGGTTATACTATGCTTAATCCTACAATTTCCTTACTACTAATGAGTTATAGGAGGATATGTAGTTGTTCTAGCTTCTGAACTGTGAAAGGCAAATAGGAATACAGGTTCTGTGCCCTAAAGCAAAATCTGGTAATTCTAGCCTCAGAATGCTCCTTGTGAAGCACTTTCTGACTAGGAGTTCAGTAGACTCCTCCTTTCCAGAAGGTGTGAGGCTCTTGAAACTATTCAATATGAAAAGAGTCACAAAAATTTCTGCTGAATCTGCAGTCACTTCAGCTTTGGAAGTTTTGTGTCATTATTTATTGATAACATGTATATTACCATTACAGCATTAGGCAGCACAAACAGGAATCTATGAAACAGGTCAAGGCTCTGGCAGTAGTGAGAAGACACATGCTTGAGTTTTGCAGTCCTTTCTGGTAGGCTGAAAGGGATTCTTTGGAGGCAGAGGTAGATGGTGATGCAGAAGGTAATTAGGGACAGAAATTGGGAACAAAATGGCCAGCAGCAGCAGCAAGGACAGCTGAGGCTATACAGCTGCATAGGCAGATGGATTATTGGACACAGAGGAAGAGAATGCTTGGGTAGAGCTTTGCAAAAGAGTCAGTGTTGCTCATATCTGAAGTCTGAGACAACATGAAGAAATGGCTTATGACCAAAGGAGTTAAGCAGATCCTTATAGTGAAAAAACTACTATCTTCCAGTTCCCTATCTGTAGGGGAGGAAAAGATTCCTATCGGTCCTTTGGTGAAAAAGAGACAGACGAGACAGAAGGTGGAAGGTTTTACCTCTTTGACCCTGAATGTGATGCTCATGACAGAAGATGAATAAGCATCTTGTTACTTTTGTGTCTTCTGCCTGAATTCAGGTTTCCTTGAGTGCCAGCCTTGGCTTCTCTGTCAGTTCCTGTGGCACTGGTACTTGTGGGTCACGTTCTTGTGTCACATGAAGAAGTTGCAGCCATGCCATTGTACAGTCATTTAGACAAGGACTGAGCCTATCTCTCGAAATTCTGTGTCTCTTTTATTTTTTTTTTTATTTTTTAGATAAGCAATCAAATACAATAACTCATTCAATGCAGCTTTTTTTTTTTTTTTTTTTTTTTTAATCAGCTGCTCGGAACATGCCCCTTCTGCTTCACATCTGTTTCAAGACATGCAGTTAGCTTCTGTTTCCTTGTTATTCCATCTGCAGTTTCACAGCTGCATGTGTTCTACACACTGCTGTTTTGTTCAGTGACAGCATTTAGATTAAGTCTTTATTTCTTTCTATAGTCACCGTTCTGATAGATGTACGTGTCTCTTCAAGCCCACCTAGGGATCAGGATTGAAATTGTATCTACCTCAGTATAATTTGCTAACATAAAGGACAGGCAAACCATATTTTTAGTTTGATTTAGTTACTAATTGAAAACAAAGTTTTACGTATTTTTTATTTTTAAGTTAATTCTCATCCCTGGGAGGTGATGGTGGTATTCAGCTTTTGTACATCAGTGTCCTGAGCACTACTGAAAAAGGTTTTAGTCTTTCAAAATCTGGCATTGTTTTTGGGGACTATGTGGCTGAAGTAATGGAGTGCTGAGGTTTTCCTCCACATACAGATGTTTTGTATGTACAGACACAGAAATATCTCAGCACTGTCGTTATGTCATATCACAGCACATACCCAGAGTATTCAGTAGGCTCCCAGAATTTATAAGAAACAACAGCAGCTATCAGATTCTCTCTGTGAGATACATTCCCTCCCTTAAACAAAATAAAGGAACATGAAGAGATTCTATTATTATCAAACCTCAGGATGCTGTTACCAATTGAAGTGCCAATTTAACTTTAAGCCCCTCTTTGATATTCTTCCTTGGTGAGAGTACATGATGGCCATAAATCCAACTTGGCAATGATTCTGAAAGGTCACCTGTGGATATTGTTTTTCATGGTGTTAAATAGACTGTAATGGTCTCATTATTGCTCCAGAAGGACAAGTTGAAGTCCCATTGGTCTTCTTGCTGTCTCATAAATAATTAACAGTCTGTTTTAACTGGGTCTAACCTTTGTACAGAGTGGCTGAACTTCACCGCATAACAGCGGCAGAAGAGACGCAGAAAAATATCATCCATCATCTATGGTACTAAAACATTCAGGTTATCTAGGAATAAAAATAAAAGACTAATAATCAAGTGGTAATCAAGAATTTTACAGGCAACTAGAACAACTCTCTTTCTGTACAAAAATGAATAGTTTGAGCATCCTCTATCATCCAGCTTTTTTTTTTTTACATCTCACCACATGTCCTGCCAGCCAAGTTTCCAACACAAGAAATTTAACTGTGGAGTAGGTGAGAAAAGTTCAAAATATTTTTTCTCTTCTGCCATAGGTAAAATAAAAAAGAAGGATTAAAGAAGGACCAGATTTTTCCTGCTATCAGTTCAAAACTTTAATGTAGGCATGACTAAAAAAAAAATCCTTGAAAAAAAATTTGAATATTGTAATTATTTCTTGTCTAAATAAATATTCCTCTTCTACTTTCCATTTTGAGCAACACCAGGGTCTAAACTAGTACTGGATTCAATATCTAAAGTACAGTGCTGAAATCTGCCACATCTCACCTGGAAAGTCTCCAGGTTTCTTGGTAACAACAGCTGGTGATAGCAATCAGGAGTCAGGTCTGATCTCACAGAAGATGTTTCATCATGACAAAGTTTGGGGTAATGCAGAAAATGTTCCTGCTATTGGATACAGGAAAGATTGTCTGGAAAAGAAATATTAAATTCCAGCAACAAAATTGCCAAAGAAGATTAAAAAAAAAATAAAAGGAAAAGAAAAGGGGGGGCTTAGGCACGGAGAATCAAAGAGAGAGAGAAAAAGAGACAGAAAACATGAGTCTTTTAATAGTTTCAGTTTTACAAAAAAAGCAGACATAGGTTGTCAGTAAGAAAATGATCTGTAGGCTCTCACTACAACTGTTCCTCTTGTCTCCTTTGCTCTTCATTTTGGGAAATTAAAATATCTTCCATACAAATCATGGCAAGTTCATATAGAAAAAGACACAGTTTAATAGTTCTGCTTTTGAAGTTCACTTCTGTGCAATTGTATTCTCTTCTTCACCCTTATATTCATGGGCTGAAGAATGCATGAGAGTTGAAGGAAAACTCTGAACTCCCACCACAGGAGGAGATGTAGGGGGGATTGCTCTTGAACACGCATCCTCTTCCAAGATGCTTGCTAGCAACCCCATAAAGCAGAGCCTGACTTAGGAAGAAGGAATATTTTGGAGCAGGAGTAGCAGGAAGCTCCAATGGTATATTTCAGTAAATTGACAGGAATGCCAGCTCCTGTTCCAAGCTGGTGGCAACATGTCTGGAGAACACCTTGATACCGACAGTCAGGGGAGTCTGAAGTCAAGCAGCTTTCCATGTGGAGGCCATGGGAGGTTTTGAGCTGCTTTGCCCTACTGATCCCTGAACTTCATGGGTATTAGAGGACTTGCTCTCCTGCCCTTCTTGCCAAGAAAAAAAAAATAAAAATCTTTCCCTTTTAAGAAGACACTTGTCTTAAAGTCCCCAGCTTAAAGACATTTTAAAAAAGTCCCAAGAGGGGGGTGCTTCCTATGGATTTTTCTGGAAACTCCTTCCAGTACCTTGGGAGCTCCTTACAGTCTAATAGTCCACATTTTTATCACACCTTCTTTTTCTATTTTGAACTATTTTTTACATTTTTCAACCAATTCAAGGGAAAAACAGTAAAAGCAGAAAGACAGCATGCAGGTAATTTTATGAAGTAGCTGTAATGAGTGATAGTTTCTACTTGCATGCCACAGAAATTCAATGGTACTGCTCAAGATGTCTGTGGGGTGAAGGGGCACTACTTGGAGAGATTTATTAGGTTCTTAACCTCAAGTTAAAAAGGAAAGATAAATAGAGGAAAGTCTCCTCCCAATAGCCCTCAATTACTTACAAATAGTCAGAAGATGCGTTGGAAAGTTAACATATTTTTATCAGAACTTTCATTATTCTTTATGTAACTCTTTTCTAAAAGCTGAACTGATGAATTACATTCAGGCTGAAGTGAAGAGTTCCCTCTCCTTGAGGAAAAAAAACCAAACAGAAAGCCCCAAAACCCAAGAGCACTTTCCCTCTGAGACCCCTGCATGTACACACAGACACACTGCTGTAATGTCTGTGTACATTACACAATGTAGAGATGTCCACAAGTGTGGACCTTTGTGTTCTGCCCTCCTGTTCAAAAGCCCTTGTGCACTTAATAAGCAGATCCAAAGCTCCATAAAAACAAAGTCCTTTTACTGACTTCAGGAGGTCAAGACTCATATATAAGCAATATAAGGAAAGAGAAACAAAAAGCCTATTAGCTCTTGCTGACATTTTTGTGCCCTGAAAAGAAAAATTGAATTTTCAATTGAACTGCCATGTTGAAGTAGGAGTACAAAAACTCCTAGAGGTGACAACCTGACTTGCAGCAGCAGCAGCCCACTGGCAAATATCAGCACTTACTGATCATGCCTTGGTGCTAACTCATCTGGTTTCTGTGCAACCTGAGGACATAACTGTGGACTGTTTGCAATATCCCAAATTTCCCCCATCATCTCTAATGTTTACTTACGCTAAAAACTCAGATGTGGATTTTCATTCATTTTAACCTAGAAAATATTGTATTTTTACTGACTGTGACTATTGTCTACTGAATGCAGTTATGGGATGGAAAGCAAACAAACCCTGAAGATGCAGGTGTGTGATGTGTTGAAAGCTGATACTGCTTGCTGCCTGTAAGTAAAATAAACAGAATTGACTTATACTAACTTAAGTGTTGATTGTAACCTCAAAGTAATTTTTTCCTTTTATCTCTTAAATATATATATATGTTGGTGACATTTTAAAACCCTAGGTCTTAATTAATTTTCAGGGGGAGTTTTTCCCTAAATACCCAGGTCAGATTCTGATCTTTGACGTTTGGTGGAGTGTAATGACAGAGGAGCGTTGTCCTATTTTCATCACTGGCTTTACAGGATTTTACAAAACTTACCCATTACAACAGTTGTTTAAAACAAGATCTGCATCTGTCTTCTTTCTGCCAGATCACAATCATCACAGAAATTTTAAAACAAACAAAGAGCCAGAGGCTACCTGTTCCTCTGTGCAGTGACTGAAAGCTGCCAAGGCTGGACCAAAGCCAGCCTTCAGGTCAGGTTTACATTATCACCAGCAACGAAGGAAAATCAGATCCTGAAAAAAAAAGGTACTGTAGTTAATAAGAAATTGAAAAAATCTGATTAACACATCTGCAATTAATCAAAGCTGTCACAAATAATTCAATGAAACGTAACTCTTTGCTGAAATCTCTTTTGACTCAGTTTACAACAGTCTGAACAATTGTGCTCCCCTTCAGGAAAACAAACAAACAATTTCCCTGGCAAACAAGAAAGGCAGTATTGCTTTAACTCCACGTGGGATGACAGTTTTTTGTGTACATATCACTACAAGGCACATTGGACATATTTCCACAGTACTTACAAAGTAAATTTATGTATTTCTTAAAGGCTTGTACCCTTAACAGGGTGGACTGAGAGGTTTCAGGACTGGATGAATTAAAGATATATTTGGTTTGGTTAAGCACCTGGATGAGTGGCTGCAAAGAGAAATTTGGGGCTGTTGGAAATGTTGTGCATAATACAATACACTTTCTCAAGATTCTGTGTTTGATCAAAACTCCCATGTGGTTTAGAGAGAAGCTGTGTCCATAAGGAAATCCCTTTTTCATTTAATTTTTGTTTTATTTTATTTGAACGTAAAACCAAAGCTTTGAAAGCTTATTTTAAACCTTAAAGATCCCTTACAGCCTTTCATGAGAAGCTATAACATCAATAATGATACTCTGGCTTCCTAAATTTCCCTTCCAGTTTTCTTGGATTCATTCCTTCTCCCTCTCCAGGAGATGAAAGCGGGCTCTGAGGTACAGAATGGATGCCCCTGGGGTTTTGGTGGGGAGAAAGCCATCCTTGCTTGGACTCAGAGAGGCCATGATCCTATGCATCATTGAGCAGCTATTGAAGGAAGGGGAAACTGGTGGACCCAGAGATTTAATAGCAGCATTCTGATCCTCTTCTGTTCTGCTACAGCAGATCTCGAGCAGCACGAGGTCTCCTCCAGTTCCTGCTGCAAAAGGAGAGTCTAATGGAACCAAAATGGCTGCATGTGGCCCTACTTAATTTCCTACATCTTTCACTTCTCTTACCAAGCCTACATTTGGTATCTGCCTGTCTACTTCCACACCAGCTCCACAGCGTGGCTGTGTCTCCACCTGGAAAGTTCATCATGAAGGGGCTCCACTGTAGACATGCAAAGAATGGAGATTGCATGAGAAGAAAGAACCCTCTAGGTGATGGAGGGACCACGTTTGCACACACATAAAGGAGTGCAGCACCAGAGATTTCCAAACTAAAGACCCAGTCCTGTTGTGTCTTCCTTTTACTATTGATCCCACAACAGACATGATATTTCTTATCCTATCCATGCACACTGATGTGTGCCAACACCCAGACTAGCACCCCAAATGTGCAAATTCAGCTCCTTTAAACAGCATGCACTGCTCTGTCTTGGCTCAGCACATGCTTCTTTTTCTACTTTTCTCTCCCTATTTTGTGATGTCACATCATAATTTAATATTTAGTCCGCAAGCTGTGAAACCAAAAAGTATACTGGGCAAAATCTGTAGAATAGCTCCCAAAATGTTCAAGTTCTGGTGGGAACAGACTATGTTTGTCACATCTAGGAAGCATCCTTAATGTCATTGTGCAGAGATAAAAGGGCCAATAATAAATAGAGCAGTAAGGATGAAGTAGATATATAGAATTTATTTCACAGAATACAATGTACACTTAGGAGGATTTTTAAATGTCATAATAGTGGGTTTGTATCATTTTAGCCAAAGTGTAAACAAATAAGAAAAAATAAAGCTCTCAGTATTTCATTAACTTGATATGACTGGAGCTCAATAAAATTGGATATAATGTTGTTACACTTCTCTACAACCACAACTTTGGATGGTGTACAAGTCTTGGAAATAACACTGCTTTGTGGATAATAAAATAATGTGAACAATGAATATCTGATCCAAACATTGTTGGCTAATTATTATTAGAGATGAGAATACTCCCAAGAAGGTAGCTTTTGTTATCGTTCATTGATACATTCTGTAACTCTTTTTTTTTGTCTGTATTGCTGGCAAAATGTCTAGGGTGGAAAACCATAGGCAATTCACATCAAGTAAAATGTGTAGGCCAGGAGTTTTGCATTAACATATCCGCTAGGCTGCACTGAATTTATAACCCCTTAAAGCAGTACAAAGGGTTTTAGTATTGGATATAAATTATGTATAAAACACTCAGCATGAACTGTTGTCCCTATATTAAGGTAGATACACCAGGCATAAAAAATAAATGACAAAATCTACATTAATGTCAAGAGGTCAACTTTAAACTGACAAAATCAAGGAAATGCAGAATTACTGCTGAATCCTTCTGTCACTCATTTTACCCCCTACTCAGTTCACACTGGGTCATCCCTCTTCTTTCCAAGCTGGAGTAAAACCTCTGCTAACAAAAAAAGAGCAATCAGGAGTCACTGTTTTGAGCACATATGGTGCAGGTGATGACTGGGGACCACTGCTACTGATCTGCTCTTCCTTCTCAAGAAAAAAAAAACAAACATTCATGTAGATGCAACTTCCTCCATTTGTTTTCTCCTCCTAGGTGCTCCTCCCTTCCATTTTACCCTACCAGTGTGTGTTACACTCACTCAATATTTAGTCTAACACATCCCTCTTAAGAAAAGTTCTATTCTGTTAAAATGGAACTCAAATATGATTTGGCCCTCAGGACATGGATAAGCTGTAAGTAATAGTATTTCAAATAATTCAGAGGCGGTTGTGTTCCAAAGTGTATCACATTATTTTCCTAAGAGCTAAATAACAACGCCATCATTAGGGGTAAGGCTTGAAGGGTGAATGCGAAGCAAAGTTAATAAGAAGAACTAATTACAGACTGTACCCAAATAAAATATTTGTATCCTCATATATACGCCACCACTAACCACTATCAACCTTCCTATTTTGGAAAAGAGATAAAAAACACTGGAACTAAAGACTGACTCTAATGCAGTCTCTTACATCTTTTTTAACCTGAGGAGATAAACAACCCATACGAGCACACATATTCAGTGAACATAGGATATATTTTAAAAGACTTAAGGGTAAACTTGACTTCAGATAAGGCAGTAGGAATATGGGTTACATCCATAATTTCACGTTCAGGAGGGACTATTGTGTTAACCCAGCCTATTTGGAAGAGCTCTCCAGATCTTTCATTCTTTTCTATTCTTTTCTATTAAAGAATTGATTTCCTTGTGTCACTCTTATTGATAGTTGTTAGATCAGCAGTAAAATTAGTGGATGTTATCAAACCCAATAACTTGTGAATGAAGAGGATAGATGTTCAGCTGAAAGGCTTGAAGTGACAAAGACCATAAGGAATTATTTTGCTTCAGGGAACAATTACACACTTAAAAAGTAATTTTGGTCCCACCTGTAGCCATTTGATTGCATTATGTTCTAGTATTAGAGACTAAAAAGGTCTGTTGCCACGTGCAAGTAATTACAGATTGTGATCTAGTTGTTTTTTGTGAGCCTAATAATCCATAACAACCTAACTGCCAGTCACATATGGAAGGTTTCAGTCGTCTCCTTCTGTACCTAAGTCAATAATTATCAAGCCAAAACATTGACTTATTGCTAACACAGGGTGGACTCACCCAGATTTTCTAAAATATTTCCACTTTTGTCAAAAATAAATTGTGAGGGCAAAGAAACTGGAGATCTTTCTTTCAGCAACTAAGGTGGAAAAAATGCTGATGCTTGTAGAGTAAGTTGCTGCTGCAGTTTCTGTAAGACCTGAGAACTTTGTCTTAGATGTGATTGTCTGAAGATGCTGTGTTGGGCTGCTGTTTCAGAAAGACTCTTTCAAAAGAGTTAAATCCACATGTTTCTTTCTGCTATATTTCTACAGGGACAAATATAAGTCTGGCACATATGCTCCATTTCAGAAAGATTAATATTCATAACATGAAGCTCACAGAAATGTTGATAAATGTATTTTAGACCACTTTGAGCAAAAATTATCAAGTTCAATTTTCCACACATTTATGACAGTAAAGTTGAAAAAACAAAGTGTGGCTCTGATGCTCTTTCACAGATATTTTGACTTTGAGGGTGACTCTTCTGGTATAGGATACTCAACATGTTCAGCTCTAGACCTTCTTACATGGCAAATGGAAAGGTGGGTCCTTCTTTCAACCCAAAGGACAAGATCCAGGTGACTCGTGGATAGCAGCATGGAGGCTGAGCACAGCTGGTCCACACATCTTTCCTGCAGTCACTGCAGGTCAGGTCCCTCTCACAGTACCATGTGTAAGTGAGGGAAACACCTTCTGCTCTTACAATAGTCAGGTCACAAGGAATGCTGAACCAGAGACTAATTGCAATCTCATGCAATCAGTGCAATTTCACCTGATTTACTAGTGAAACTCCAGCACAGCAAAATCTGTCCTATTATACAGAATGTATCATTATGTCATATATTATCTGGAGACAAATTATTGGAAGTAAAGAGCTGAAACTGAAAATGTACAGGACTTGGTGTCACAGCTTGTGATATCAAATTTTGTTTTGGGGGTTTTTTTTGAGACAAAAGGGAAGTTTCTCATTATATAAATTTCTGCCAGAAATTCTGGTATTTGCTGATGTTTGTGCCTTTCCAGGATACCTGAAAGGAAGAGTAGCTGGAACTGAAGAGGCTCTTGAAAAAGAATTAATTGATAACACAGTAATTTGAACTTGTGTAGTCTAGCGAACTATGAAAGCACAACATTATGCCAAAAGTGCTGAAAAATAAAGATAACTAAACCTTGCTCCCAAACCTAAAAGTCATGAACGAATGAAAAAAAGGTTATGATCCCTAAAGAATAGTTTTATGGTAATAATGAAAAAGCATTAAGATAGGAATGGAATGATGTGTGCAGTGAATTTGCTTACGGGAAGTAAGAAAAATAGGCAATATGGAAACATTCACAAAATAACTACTATACAAGCAACCTTTAGGTTCTGAGAAAGCATGAAGATTCAGCCACACTTTTGACTTTTCTTATTTAAAGTGTAACAATGCTT